TCTGTAGGCACCTTCACACACACGATGTGCAGTCACATGGACCCAGTCACAGTTTTTTAATCTTCAAAAAATTTAATTTTAATTAAAGGCCTGGAATAACATACTAAAAATGATAAAAATTTGATCATTTATTATATGTCCATTGTCAGTTATAGTTTTTATAGTGAGAATTGGTAAAGAGGTCTTTCTCTTTTATTTTTAAAAGGAAACTACTCTTCAACTCTTTGTCAGCAAGAGAAATACTGCCAGCCTTTATGATTTCTGTTCTTTTTTATTTAATGGCCTTTATTTATAGGATTCATTTTAAGCCCAATTTTACATTATAACATCTCCTGTTTACAAAGTTCTTAACTGAGTGTTAGTAAGCCCATAGTTAGCTCCCTGTTGTAATGATCTTCATGATAAATCCTAAGGTCACCATCTTAAAAACAAGTCCCAGAGAGATCTAAGAGCCCTGGTTTTCTGCCTCACACCACCTCCCTGGTCAGTGTTGTTTATTTAATTCTGTGAGATGTGGTCTGATTTCTTTTAATGAAATGTTCTTACACAAAGATGCATCTTTACTGAGCATGTATGTGGGCTTGCTTTCTGATAACAACTCCTGAAGTTACATTGTAATAGGGATTATAAATAATGTAGAGGTGATACGTGTAAATCATATACTCTGCTGTGTTTTATGCAACAGTCGAGCAGCTGAAGATTTTGGTACCCACAGGTGTCCTGGAACCTGTCCTCTATAGATGAAGAGGGATGGCTGCTTTATGCTAATCCCATAGCCATTTTTATACTTTTAACCAGATTTTTAGTGATGCTCTGGTTCGTGAACTACATTTCTTAGTCATTTAAGTGCTGGTGAAAACTTCCTGCCTTTGGCTGATGACTGGGATTTATATTTATTCCTTGAGATGTGTAGCATCCTGTTGTCTGGTTAGCCAACCTAGACCTGCTGAAAAAGAACACAGTAACCCCCACTCCCCCACCCCCATCGACGCTAAAAGGCAGTAAGTAAGTATGGTAAATTGGTAAATGTAGTGTAACAACTGTCTGTATGACTAAGGACATTTTTTAAACTTTCCCTGTTTTCATATATGTGTGGTATGTATGTGTGTGTGCTCATATGTCTTAACTGTGCATACACGTGTTATCCTCAGTTGCTTTTCTGTCTTATTCATTGAGTCAAGGTCTCTCAGTCAAACCCAGCTTGCTCACTGGGAAGGCTCAGTTTTCAGCTGGGCCGGGTCTCCAGGCCTGCCATTTCAGTGCTCTGGGTTTGGTTTTTCCTCAATACCAGGGTTGTTTAGGTACATTCACACTTAAAGCAGGTAAAATTGGGAGTGGGGTACTTTCAGAGTCAGTTATGTCTGAAAACTAAGTATTGTCTCCGCTTTGATCCTGTTGAAGAAAAGCAAAACTTAGACTTGGTTGCAACCCATATCTACATGAGTAAATAGCACCTGCAACAGCATAGCTAGGCTTTTAAAGTAATAAATTTGCGAAAATGATACATAGAACATGTTAAACTGTCATCTTACCTGATTCTGTCCAAAAACATCACCAAAGCCAACAAATCAACATTTGCATAACCTTACCTGAGTCATTTACTAAATATTTACTGAATGACTAGTTCATTGCAGGGAGAAGACAGCCTGTAGCCCCAGCTCTTGGCCCCATGTAGCAGGATTTCATCTGTAAGAATCCATCTTAGGGGGCTGGAGAGATGGCTTAGTGGTTAAGAGCACTGGCTGCTCTTCCAAAGGACCGGGGTTCAATTCCCAGCACCCACATGACAGCTCACAACTGTCTGTAACTCTAGAGTCCTCACACATATATACACATAGGTAAAACACCAATGCACATAAAAACACGTACAGAATTCTGTCTTAGTACCTTGTTCTCAGGTCCTTAGAGGATGTTATGTGGTTACACAAGCTAGAAACAGCCAAAGTGGGGAGAATGCTGAAGTGCTGTTAACCCCAAGGGGATGTTAGCTACCAGAGCATACCCGAAGCTAAAGGACCCATTGCTAGGCAGGAGATCTCTAGGGAGTTCTCCATACACCCTCCAGGAACCGTGATGTCTCACAGCCAACATTGAAGAAGAATGTCTTTTTGGCAGTGTGACTGATGGTGAGAACCCGGGGTTTCGTTTTCTCTGATGGGCATTACTTTTTACCTTTGCCACTTCCCTTGTTCTAAGACATTTTCTCATAAGCCTCCCCTGAGGTCTTACCTCAAAAGAGAGCCTAAGATAGACAGCTCTGCAGCCTCTGGTGGGGAGTGGGTAAGTTGTGGTGACCACAAACACAGCCGCTCCCTGGAGACTGCCTTACCTCAAGGCTTCCTTCACAAGGAGTAAACAACTCTGGAATTGCCTGACCTCCTCCACCGTGGCCCTCACAGCAGCTACAGAAGCTGTGTGTTCCCACTCTGAGCCCCAGAGGGGCCAAATGCTGTGCAGGTGCATGGTCATGCCCGGACAGCCTGCTTCAGCCAGTGATCACACGATGCCATCCGGTCTGGTCCTGTCAGCAGACACAACAAAACCAGTGTTCCCACACGGTACAGCCTCCCGTCACTGACGAGTCCTACATTCTAGCAGAACATGTGAGACACCTGGATCAGCGACTGGTGACTGACCTCCAGCCTAAGTATTGGGACTGTATCAGTTGCCTTCACCCCTTCTGATCTCAAGGGTGGTGTGGAGATTGTTAGAGTTTGTGTCACAACTGAAGAAATCAGCTGAGGAAGTCCCATTGTTCTGAGGCAGCTACTGACAAACCTACCCTAGAGCATGGCATCGGCCTCTTCTAGAGCAGGAAACAGATCTGTGCCTTTAAAACTGCTTCCGCAAGGGTGGCTTTGAAAAGACAGTACGAAACACATACCCATGCTTGTTGCTCAGGAGACATCCACAAACAAATCCCCGACCAGTGGTTTCCCCGTCACCCAATCCTGCTAATGCAACGAAGGTCACAAAGCCCACTGTGCAAGGGTGCTTGCAAAGACCAGCAGTGGTGAGAGAGAAGGGAGCTGAGCCTCGGGGGCGGGGACGGGGGCAGTGGCAGGGGATACTAACCAAAGATGAGCACTTTTATTAGACACATGCATAAGCCGCCACCAGAAAGACGGCTGAGCCTCTCTTTAGTTGGCTATTTGTAAAGAACAGGAAAGGTGAAAAATTAATTGACGTTAACATTTATTGGACATATACGCTAAGACGATTTTGGAGTCATTTTTACATGTATCATCTTAGTTAATCCTAACAAAAATAATTTTAGATGTGGACAATCAGATGATCTCCAAAAGGAACCAACAAATTAAACTAGTGGTGGATCAGCTATGCTGCCCTTTAAGAAGGGTCACCCAGTGCTCGTAACTTTTGTTGTATTTGCCTCCTGCCTAGGAAATCCACTCTGGGTGTCATGCCCTGCCCTAATTGATCTCTGTCCCAGGCAGCTCACCCTTGGTTACTGGATACCCGGAGCCTCCTCATCTCCAGTAACAGGCACCAGGGGAGGCTGTGAGAGAGTTGCCAGAGCAACTTGGCAGAGGTGTTTGTCTATTCCTGGACTGCTTTGTACTTAGAACCAGTAAAGAATTAAGGACATAAATCAGCGCTCTGTTAGCTACTTTGTGATGGCAACAGTGGCTTGCCTAAAATCACAGTCACAGAGAATTCTGGGACTGGGGCTTGAGTCTACAGCCTCCAACCGGCAGCCAAGGTTAGATCAGAAAAGAAGGGCTGCGTGTCTAGCCCGAGCTTGCATTCCTACAGACTGTTTGTCCTACAACCTGTTTGGAAACAATCTACAGCCTGTCCCAAGACGAGTGGGAAGACTTTCAACACAAGAAGTCCTAGACAGCTCTTTTTCTGCTTCCTTTAGAGTGGGGTCAGTTTTAACTTGAGGGACTTGGGTGCGGAAACAGAAGCAGTTCTCTCTAAGTGCTCTCTAGTCAGCTGGCCCTTTATGAAAACAGGCACAGGATGGCATCTCAGTGCTGGTTGGTAATCCCTGGGAGCTGAAGTCCTGAAGTCCTAAACCCCAATGAGTTTTTGTTTTTTTTTTAAGAGACAGGGAAAGGAGTCATTTGCCTTGTAAATTGAGTAGCAGCATTTTCTGGCTTCCTGCTGTGGTCAAGGGTGATGTCCACAAAAGTGAAGGTGGGCTTCACCCACCCAGGGAGAATTTTTATCTCCAAGTAGAAATGCAACAGGGTTGTTCTGCAGGTCTGGGTTACAGGGAAGGGGTTAAAGAATCCAGCCACAGGCACTAGCTGTTGGCTTCTTTCCCTTCCTGCCCTCCCCTGCCCTCTGCCAGCTGCCCTGCTGAGCCTGAATCTAGCTAAGCCTCTACCCAGTGTCCTGTGCCTGTCACCTCCCCAGTTTCAGGGTTGGGAGGACTGAGTTAACATGGGTGATATTCTTAGAATCAGTCAGCATGGGAACACTTCTCTATTCCTAGGTTTCCTTCCCCAAGTCAGGCATTCCTCTGCTGGGACACTTGCCCCCCCACACCCCTCCACGCTGTCACCCCAGTCTCCTGGGAAGCGGCTGACTTTGGCAAGCACTGGGAGGCACACACTGCCATCCATGCCTGTCTCAGGCCCTCCTCCTGCTCTCTTGGAGAGTGAGCGCCGTGCCTCTGCCTTGCAGCTTAGCCTGGCTGGCGGATGCCAGCGCTCCATGTTAGACCTGTTTCCACCCTGGCCACACAGTTCTTGCGGCTGGAATTGCTTCCTTAAGGTATTTAGTTCTGGAGAGAGGGCTCAAAAGTTAAGAGCATTGACTGTTCTTCCAGATGTCCTGGGTTCAATTCCCAGCAACCACATGGCAGTTCACAACCGTCTATAATGATATTTGGTGCCCTCTTCTGGTGTGGAGGCTGACATGCAGACAGAACACTGTATACATCATAAATAACTGTTTTTGAGAAGGTTGAAACTTTAAAAAAAAAAAAAAGGATATTTAGTCTCTGTCCAGAGCCAGGGCCTGACCCATTTGGATGTCTGGGTGACTAGAGTAGGCCCCATGGTCTGTGTCCCTTCAGGGTGCTCTTGCTGTCTGCCCACAAATGGCCACAGGGTTGTTCTCCAGGCTTTGGTCTAGAGAACATTTCTGTAAATGACAGCAAGATCCAGAATCACGCTGAGTCCAACTGACTCTCACGTCAGACACAAAGCAGTTTTAGGCCTCGGCTTGAGCAGTGTGTAGGCCCATGACACCCTAGTCCCGCCTCAAGTATATAGCACTCAAAAGGCAGGAAGTCCGTGCGAACACTGAGGGCTCTCACCCCACCCCCACCCCAGCAGTTAGCATTTCGTGCACATCAAGGAAGACTCCCGTTTACTCCAGCCCTCCACTGTGCTGACGACATGGAAGCCAGGGGCAGCGCCCCGGGGGAAGAATCCCCCACTAAGAGTGGACACAGTCTAGGGAGTCCTCTTGAGGGTGTGGTTGGCCTAAGGCCATCTTGTTTATACTGTGAGATTCAGACCCGCACACTTAGCAAGTGTGGAGTCTGGATAAGAGTCGAGTTGGCTGTTAGCAGTGAGGCATGCGCGCACCTTTGCTAGAGCTGTGGAAGCCGTTACTCTGACAGGCTGAGGGAGGGCTGGGAGTGATGATGTAACCAGCACCGGATTGTCACACAGCTACAGTGGCAAGAAGGCTTATGCTATTCCAGTAGGAAATACACTTTCCTAAATTTATTGTGGGGAAATAGGAAAATAACCAGGAGCTGTGCGCATAATGAAAAACATGAATTAATGGCCCCTGGACCCTGGAGAGCAACGATGCTGCTTGACCAACATGAGCACTCCTGCCATGCGCTGACTCCGTGAACACACCCGCGCTTCTTTCCCTTTGCCCCAGGCCTCCACGGGAAACTGTAGCACCAGTTTTGCTGCCAACTGGATCATGTAGGTAGAAGGCTCACAGGAAATTGTGGCCTAAGGAAGTCCCAGAGAAGAGCATGTACCCACTAAAACGAGCCATTTCTCTGTCGGAAGGGCTAATGCAATGCGTGACCTAGCAACCACAGGGGGACTGAAAACACCCGCGGGCTGTCAGGCTCCGCCCCCTTCCCCAAGCTTCCGAATCCCAGAGTTCCTTCTCCGCCCTGTGAAATCCCAGCCCTCCGTGCCACATGCACAGTCTCCACTCCCAAGGAGACACTGGCGTCCTCCCTCTGTTCTGGTTATAAGCCCAATTCAGCTTCCGGAGATGCCTGTCTGCTGCCTTATTCCCAGATCACCCCCACCCAGGTTGGTCTCACCCCGTCAGCGTGGGTCAGCAACAAGGCTGCTGTGCTGGCCACTGTCTGCCCCTTGGTTTGTGTCCAATCTGATGGGGACAGACAAGTGTTACTTATTCTGAAGCCTCAGATCTCAACAAGAAGCACTTGATAAAGGTAGGTCATTTCTCTAGGTGTCCCCCGGGGGGTTATTTTATTTTTAGTTTTTTCCTTCAAAGTCCTTTAACTTCCTAAGCCCTGCTATGAGCTCAGAAAGATTCTTGTTTGTTTATGCTTGTTTGTTCTTCACAACAGTCTTATACAAACATGGGCACTTGAACACACACCACACACACACACACACACACACACACACACACACTCCCATTAGCGTCCATCAGTATTTGGATGGAATGAAATCCACCTGTTCCACCAGTAGATTTGAGGTACCGGCCTTAGGGTGTGGCTTCGGCGCCTCGATCTCTCTCTTGGGTGGTGGTTTGAGCATCCTGCATCACAGCGTCCTGCGCCCCCCCCCCGCAGAAGGCCATGGGGACTATTTACCTTTGTTGTGTGAGTATTCCGCAAATAAATACATTATACCTTTATTTGGGCATCCGTGGACTTCCTTAACCCACCTTCACCACCCTTACCAACTCTACTCTTGAGGCTGATGCGCTGAGCTAGAGAGCAGAGCGCTCGTAGGTCAAACAAACCTTCCCGGGGGGGGGGGGGCATAGCAAAACCAGAAGCTGAATGATGACGATGAAGTGAATGAAGCAAAACAATGTGGAGCTTTTCACAGGTGTCCAGGAAGCGCAGGGAGCTGTGGGACGTGGGCCGCTCTGCGCAGACAGTGATAAACACAGGCCCTGAAGCTATAGCCTGTATGACTGAACACGTAAGCAAAAGATGGCGCTAAAGTGGCAGGAGTTCAGAGCAGGCTTGGATTAGGACATTTGCTGCTGTAACATCTCTGTAGGAGTTTGTCCAGAGGAAGCATAGCCTGCCCTTAGGCAGGCCTTGGGCTCACCTGGCTCTCAGCGCTCCTCCAGAATATGCTCAGTAGGCATTTGAATCGGTCTCTAGAAACGGAGCTCAGAAGTCTGCACTCTAGGCAGGTTCCTTGGAGATTCTTATGCACACTGCAGTTTGGAGGAAGATTGCTTCATGTCTCTACCAAAGTCATTAGAAAACCACTGGGGGATTTGTCCGACTTTCTTCTTTCTTGAAGCAAAATTAATCTACTGCAATTACACTTTGTATTTGTTTTAATTTTGGTGGTGAGCCTAACCTTTAACGGCTGAACCATCTCTCCAGCCCAATTTTTTTTTTTGGTCTAGAAATATTCACTAATAGGTTGCTAATTTTTTTATAAGACACTCTAATAGACATAGGTTGCCCTGTCAGGATTCCTAGTTTTTCCCCATTCCCATCCCTTTGAGTCCCGCCGTATTCAGGGCTGCTTGGCCTGAAAAGTCACTTTTACTTCTGTGACCCAGATAAAACAAACTACAAGTGCTGGGCCTTATAGAGGGTTCCTGTTTTCCTAAATTTCTCTTATTTCAATGCCCAGAAACACCCAGTTATGATGGACCCTACTCTTGTCCAGTCTTGAGCCCCGGTAGCGACCCAGTTAGGGCTGCTGGAGAGCTGCACTAGAGAGGGTGGGGCCCTGGAGAGGGTGGAGCCCTGGAGAGGGTGGGGCCCTAGAGAGGCAGGGCTCCTGAACTCCCGGGAGTGCCCTGCCCTCTAGAATTTCACTCAGGGTAGAAACTAGGGTTCAAACCTTCTAACAGCTGTTTAGGTGGAAGCCGGCTGTGTATAGCCAAAGGTTGGGGTATTGGAGATCTCCAGTTCGGGGCCACGTTCCTCCTCCCACGCCAAACCCCGCCCCCAAGGAAGTCTGTCAATAGCCCCTCCCTGGGGCTGCTCAAGACCACGCCTACAGGCTATGGGAGCCCTGGTAGCCACATTTGCGGTGCTATTCCTCCCCTACCTTTCCAAGGGTCACTGACACCGGAGCGGCTTTGCTCTGTTCATGAAATCTCGATTTATCAATTCGGTTTCGTTTGGTTTATTACGTCAGCGGCGGAGAAACCCAGCAACTGGGGATCTGATACCTATCAGGACCTGTATTTTGGAAGTCAAGAAATTCCGTAATCTTTTAGAAAAATATGTATGTTTCTAAACAGTCGTGGTGTTCCACCCTTTGGGAAAAGTGACGGCACCCAACTCCTTGGTTGCAATTCCTCTGGGTTGTGGGGAGGCCATCAGGCTGTGTGACAGGTTTGACTAAGGACGAGCCTGCTATGCAGTCTCTGCTTGCTGTCCGTGTGCCAAGCTCTGCTAAAATGTAGCTCACAGCCCACTTACACAAACTTCTTTCACTTTCCAAGCCTGTGAGTAAACACACTGTTTTAAAACTCATGTTTTCCTTTATAATCATTTGAAATTTCTGCCCAGGATAAAATCATCACCCAGATTGTCACAGAACTCATGAATAATATTTAAATCCACTTTAACCAGCAGCAGGCCCTCTACTTAAATAGCGTTCCAAACGCAAGCACAAATTTATTTTCAAAGCTCTGAAAATAAGCGATGAAGCCGCCTACGAGGTTATCTTTTATGCAGCAGAGGAGAATTATCTTTGAGGGTCAAGTTGCTCAGGCTGTGGAGAGTCGGATTCCTGCACTACAGGGCCATGGGGCCCCCGAGGCTGTGCGCAGTCTTTCTCAAAGGAACCATGCAATTGCTGCTGAGGTCCTCGCTGATACAGCCCTGCAGTTGTGCCTAGGCTAGGCCGATAGAAGCCCTTCATAGACGATTGAGTCCCTCGCCCACTAAGGAGTCACTTCTGCTAGACTGCAATCTACTTTAAGGCACACACTCCCTTAATCTCCCGCCTAGAGCCAGGAGTAAAGGAGCACAGCGCCATGGAGTAGGAAGCCCCTCCCTCCTCCTCAGTCTTTCCATAGAGTCGGACCTTGTAGGCAGCACAAAATCTGTTTTATAAATTTGCTTTAAAAACAAAATTCTTTCCTTCCCCAACAACTCAGTGCCAAAATAAAGCCACGGAGTAGGGCCACAAGGTAGGATTGCAAACCAGTGCGAGGGGAGTCCACTCTGGTGCAAGGGGAGAGGCCCACAGAGAGCGGCCCACCGGGGTATCAGCCCGCAGGGGCGCAGAAAGGCATCATCATACCCGGGACAGCCTGGGGCAAAGGGCTACAGCTGGATTGAAGCTGGTACAGGGGAGTGCCTGGGAGTAGCAGAGGCGGAAGGCCAGTCCAGTGCAGGGGGTTTGATGAAATGAATGAATGTATTAATGATGGATGGAGAACAGCGATTTTTTTTTCATTATCAGTCCCAGGTATTGCAAATGTGGAGAGGGAGGAAACTAGAATAAGCCTGGAGATGTTGAGATGGAAGCGAATCAGTGTGAATTCACGATTTCCAGTAATATATATGCAAATGTACATTACATATGCATGCCCTGCACGCACACGCACGCGCGCGCGCGCGCGCGCGCGCGCACACACACACACACACACACAGTATCTCTGCTCACTGAGTTACCTGGAGGCTGTGACAATTAGAGCCTCTTAGAACCGTCTTCCACCAATCGGAATTATAGATGATTACAGAGCTAGGTTAAGAGAGCAAAACTGAACCCAACACATCCTGGGCCAGAAAAGGAAATGACCACAGACCGATCTACCATCCCCTGATGAGAGCAAAAGTGGGAACGGTTTGTAGGTGAAGCTAAACAGTAACAATAAACCATTAGAACAAAGTAGCAGTCCATTCAGACATATATAAAAAGTGGACAAATTCAGCTTAATGAATGAGATATTGATATAATCTTTAAAAAATTCCCCATCCCTGCTTACTAACTTCACAAGCATAAAGATGAACTTTACAATGAGAACATCTGGCAGACAGCCCCTGTGGTGGTTTGAGAGAGAACAGCCCCCATAAGTGATTATATTTGAATGCTTGTTGTGGAAGGATTGGGAGGTGTGGCCTTGTTGGAGGTGCTGAGTCACTAGGGGTGGGCTTCTAGGTTTCCAAATCCCACCCCATTCCCAGTTAGTTCCCTCTCTCTGCTTCCCATTTGCAGGTTAGTCAGATGGGAGCCCCTAGCTGCTGCTCCAGCGCCACGCTGTGCCTGCCTGACACTGTAAGCAAGCCTCCAATTAAAAGCCTCCAATTAAATGATTCTTTTATAAGTTGCTCTGGTCACAGCGTCTCTGCATGGCGGTAGAAAAGTAAGCCACCCTTCTCCACATGGTCACAGTGAAGAAACACGGCAAACGGGGAGGCGCGGAAATCCCGAGCCGGGTGGTCGGCTGCACATACCAGGGCTCTCGACACTTCCTGTTTAAGACACAACACCAGAGTGTAACTAGAAAACAGCAGGAAAGTCCCAGTCCTGGGAAGCCCTGAAGGATGACGGCACTGGAATGAGAAGAGGTCCCAGACAAGAGGGACCTGAGCGATTGGAACCCCAGTGTGCGATTTGGAGCTGGAACCTTTGGCTGTGAAACCACAGTTGGCAGAACTGGTGTTCTGAGCGTTCAATGCTTTCCTGATTTCCGGTGGCTTCCCGATTGCTGACACTCATACCGTGGTTGTATCGCAGAATGCCCCATCTGTTTGCAAATGAATACATAAAAGCTTTCAGGGGGGACAGACAGGTTGGAAGTTACAAATAGATCTAGAGTCATTTATGATGTGCTCATATAACTTTTGTGATTGGCTCAAAGTTTGGAAATTAACATAAAAGTGTTGTTGGCAGTTCCTGTCTCCTCATTTAGAATTCGGAGAGGAAGTGTCACCTGCTCATGGAGCTCATTTGCCATCACGTGCTCATTATTGCATAGCACACAGTTAAAGGGCCAAGATACAGCTCAGCGCTAGTGTTTGCCTCATATCTGTGAGGTCCTGGGTTTGATTCCCATAACCACAAGAGGTGAAACTGTAGAATCGGGTTTGACAAGCTGGGAAGAGCACCATAACCACACCCTCCGTGACCCTGCCTTCCACACCCTCCGTGATCCTACCTTTCCAAACTCTTAGCTGACATACAGGTGCTCACCCCACGTAAAGCCAAACGGAGGCGGGGGCTGCAGAGACCCTGTGGAGAGGGCCAGAGTTCGGTTCCCAGCACACCTTAGACAACTCACAGCCACCCGTGCTCCACTTCCGAGGGATGCGTTTGGTTTTCTCCGCCACCCCCTCCCTTCCTCTCATGCACAAATGCAAAATATCAGAAAACCCGAGCTACACAGGAATTCAAGGGATAATTGTTAATCAAGACACTTAGTAGACACCTTCATTTCCCATGATGTGTGCATCCTGAGTGGCTTCCTGACCACCACCTGTCTCCCTGTAAACTTTGGAAGTGGTGACCAAACAGAAAGCTCTTATTCCCACCCCTGCATGCCCACCCCTGCATGCTCACCTCTGCAGGCTCACCCCTGCATGTCCACCCCTGCATGCTCACCCCTGCAGCCCACCCCTGCATGCTCACCCCTGCATGCCTACCCCTACATGCCCCCACTCCTGCAGCCCACCCCTGCATGCTCACCCCTGCATGCTCACCCCTGCACGTCCACCCCTGCATGCTCACCCCTGCAGCCCACCCCTGCATGCTCACCCCTGCATGCTCACCCCTACATGCCTCCACCCCTGCAGCCCACCCCTGCAGCCCACTCCTGCATGCCCACCCCTGCAGCCCACTCCTGCAGGCTCACCCCTGCAGCCCACCCCTGCAGCCCACTCCTGCATGCCCACCCCTGCAGCCCACTCCTGCATGCTCACCCCTGCATACCCACCCCTACGTGCCCCCACCCCTGCAGCCCACCCCTGCATGCTCACCCCAGCAGCCCACTCCTGCATGCTCACCCCTGCATACCCACCCCTACATGCCCCCACCCCTGCAGCCCACCCCTGCATGCCCACCCCTGCAGCCCACTCTGCAGGCTCACCCCTGCAGCCCACCCCTGCAGGCTCACCTGTGCATGCTCACTCCTGCATGCCTACCCTGCATGCTCACCCCTGCAGGCCCACTCCTGCAGGCTCACCCCTGCAGGCCCACCCCTGCATGCCCACCCCTGCAGGCTCACCCCTGCATGCCCACCCCTGCAGGCTCACCCCTGCATGCCCACCCCTGCAGGCCTACCCTGCATGCCCACCCCTGCAGGCTCACCTCTGCAGGCCTACCCTGCATGCCCACCCCTGCAGGCCCACCCCTGCAGGCTCACCCCTGCAGGCTCACCCCTGCATGCCCACCCCTGCAGGCTCACCTCTGCAGGCCTACCCTGCATGCCCACCCCTGCAGGCCCACCCCTGCAGGCCCACCCTTGCATGCACTGCACACAAGTGAATGCAAATGTGTCCCTTGAAAGATGAGACTTTAAACTGTATGTTAGGTGAGTATCATAAATTTGTTTAATATAGCTGCTGCCTCAGCATCTATTTTTAAACCTGACAGGAGTTATTTGAAACCCAGCCACACCTGGCCCGCTTGGCCCCCTGAAGATACCCTCCCTGAATGCAGATTTGAAATGGAGCCTGTGTGTCTCGTCTCAGCCCCAAGCCAGCACAAACCACAGCTGTGGACCAGGACAGGCCTAATGGCAGCACCAGAGCCCTATTAAACAGTTCCTCCTGTCACGTGTGCTGCCCCGTCCTAGCCAAGTTGCAAGCCGGGAAGCCCGAGGAGTGAAGCCCGTGGATGCAAGGACAGGGACAGACATGGTTTTAGGGACACCTCTATGCTCCCCGTCCACTGTGTGAGCGCCGTGTGGCCCAGACTTCCCATCAGCCCACAGTGACGCCCTTCCTTTCTTCTGGACCTGTAAGTGATAAAATTCTTGTTTCATGTATTTTGTCATGGTCCCCTGACTGTGTGGATCCAAGTTGTCCTGGTTCCAACTCTCCTACAGGTGCCAGTTTGGTATTGGAACTGGTCAGACGAGATCTACGAAGGAGTGTACCGGTGTAAACAAGCTTCGTGAAACCGGAGTGCGGCTCAGTGGTCCAGTGCTCCCCTAGCAGGAGCATAGCTCTGGCTTCACTCCCAGCCTCAGGGAGCTTGAGGTGTATTTCACACCAAGTTCAGCTAGTATAAGGAATTGTGCCGTGGGGAGCAAACGTGTCCAGAAGTGTTTCCTACCGGTGTGCCGAAGAGAGTACAGCCGCTCTTTAGTGAGAGACTTCAAGACCAAGCTAGGGGAAAAGCACAATGAAAACAGGTATGACAGCGCTGAAAGCAGGAGGGTAGCCGCTGGATACCCTGAGGAAGGGGTGGAAACGGCTTAGCTCTCACTTCTCTGTGCCCCAGTGGCGGCTCATCCAAAGTTGTTTTATTGTAACAAGGGAAACACTGGCTTGGGGCCAGAACAGGGTTCAAAGCCTGCCTTGGGTTTTTGTCGTTGTTTCCTACACTTGACCTGTCACTGAACTGTCCTCCAGCCTTGGAGATTGTTGCCCCTAACATGACCTCACCACTGTGTGTGTGTGTGTGTGTGTGTGTGTGTGTGCGTGTGCATGTGTGTGGTGCGTGTGTGTTATTTGCTCCTGTTTATGCATGTGGGTGGAGACCTGATGTCAACACTGGGTGTCATTCCTTGGGAGTCATCTGTCTTGTGTCTTTGAGACAGTGTCTCTTGATGGGACCACATATTAGGCAGATGAGCCAGTGAGTGCCAAGGGCCATCAGGTCCCTGCCTCCCCAGTACTGGGATTCTAGGCCCAGCTTCCCATGTGGGTGCCGGGAGCACCCTCAGGTGCTCTTGCTTGCGCAAGCAGCATTTTAGCGCCCGAGCCCTCTCTCCGGCCCTTATCGCTTCCTTCTTACGGAGGGGACTTCAGTCTGTGTCCGTGGCGCCACATCTAGTCTTCTTGCCTCCAAGGTGGCTGCAGGGTGTGAACAGACACCCACCAGCGAAAGCCACCGAAGTCATGTTGCAGTTGGCTGCTGTGGCACACGTGTGTATCTTACGTGGGTTGGTCTAGTGACACGATATGGAATGTCTCCATACGGTAGAAGCAAAGATTCGACACGTGTTGTTTGCTTCCTGGGCCCAATCCGACATTCCCCAAAGAGGAACATTTCGCCCCTTTACGTCTGTCTTGAACTTCCCGTCCAGTTAAAGGAGCGGCTGAACCACCTTCAGGTGTGGCTAACAACCTGCCAGCCTCTCAGTGCTGAGGACCCAAGTGATTTTAATGAGAACTGGGGTTAGACTTTGTGGCACTTGTAGGGAGAAGTTAGAAGTTTGAAAGTTCTAGAAGCCCCTAGCCAGATCTGGTCATCACAGTGCTCCCTCCCCTACCCTCCACCCCAGCCCCCTCCCCCACCCCCATCTCCCAGATATCCCTGAGGAAGAAGAGGGGGCAGCCAGCTTTCCCAGTTTACCAAGGAACAACTTTGTGAGGCTCTAAGTAATCTCTTGGCAGTAAGCTTGGTTGTCAACGTTCTACAACTTCAGCCCCGAATAAAACTAAGCCATCGTGTCACCAAAGTAGTGAACCGTTGATCTGAAATCCATGTTTGTATCAGATTCAATGAAAACCGCCTGATAAAACCACAAGTAAAGCTTTCCCTCTAGCCTCCAGTCTCCTGACTGGGAATGGTGCCCGAATGAGATCTTTTTCAGACAAATCCATCTAAGCTCAATTCCAGGTTGGACTTGCGTGTGGAGTCTACATTTAACATCCGAGGTGTCTTTAGAAATGTTCTCTTCCAAAATCTCCCTGCCCAGAACTAGATCCCAGAGAACCAGGGTATACACATTTCAGTCAAGTCCAAGGGCAGCAAATCATTGTTCAGTAGTCTCTGAGTGCTGCCGAGGTCATGTGGTTGAGTCAGCTGTGCAGGTTGCTGTTATGATCATCTGGGTTCTGTTTTGTTTTGTTTTTTGAAATTGAGCAACGAGCAGCTGCCCGGTGTACCTGTCCGAAATGTACTCTCTGAAGTCTACAGCGGTGGCTCTAAGCCAGGTAGCTGTGACCAGCCAGGGCTACTTAGCTCCCAGTGTTAGAATGCTGCCGCCCAGTTGGTCGCTGGTAGGACCTGTACAGGCTTGTGTAGTGGGATGGCCTGGGACCAGCCTGCTCCAGGAGTAGCCGAGTCCGAGGCTGACTGGTGTCTCCAGGATTCAGTTTCTCTGCAGCTTTCAGCTGTGTTTCTTCTCAGGCTCTTTCAAATGACTGTCGGCTTATCCGTTCTCAGGGTAACCCCTGCAGCTCCGTCCTCGCCACCCTTGTGGGGTTGAAATTAAAGGAGTTGGGACATCTTCACCTCAGTCATTAGGATCACTGTCTGCTTTGGTCACATCCATTCCCTGCATAGGCTTAGTGAGGGAAGACTTCTGTGACTAACTTTGTAGTGTGTTGAAGCTCGGACAGAGTTCTATCCACTGACGACGGGGCAGGGGTCCATTCACTGGAAGATCGGGCTAGTGAATGAGGTGAATGCCGGGAAAGCAAGGCACTTACTGTGCATCCTTACAGGATATCAAGAACCTGCAAAATTCCCTGAGATTGTTAGCTTTACTGTAATATGATTTGTTTTGTTTTTGCTTTTAGAGACAGGGTTTCCCTCTGTAGCTTTGGAGCCTATCCTGGCACTCACTCTGTAGACCAGGCTGGCCTCAAACTGGCAGAGATCCACCTGCCTCTGCCTCCCAAGCGCTCGGGTTAAAGGCGTGCGCCACCACCGCCCAGCATGATATGATTTTTTTAATTTAATCTATTTATCTATTTATTTATTTTAGATTTATTTACTTTTGTAGGATTATAAAGTCTGAGCTCACTTCCAGGTTTTGAAGCCCCACAAATCCCTGAGCTCAAAACCTCACCAATTCCCTGAGCTTAAAAAGCATCTCCGAGCTTGCCCAAACTCAGGGCTTGAAGTATGGCTAAGCCCCACCCTGGAAAGCTCCACCCTGGAAAACCCTGCCCCCGGGAAATCCTACGTAAGCCCCCCACTCAGTTCTCTTCTGGTTCTCACCCCAAGCAGAGGCAGCCACCACCCTCTTGTGTCTCTCCCAAAAAGTCTCTTGTGTGAAGTTTTTGTGCAGTGTGACTTTGTGGTATTCCTGTAGTGCCCCTTACCTCCCCACTGCCAGGGTTCCTACCCCTCAGGGCTGCAACGCTCGCACCTTTATGAGTGTGAATGGCATGGCTGCATGCATATGTACCACGTGAGTTGGATTCCATGGGGTTAACGGGTAGTTGTGAACCACCATGCAGGTGCTGGGAATTGAACCTGGGCCTTCTGTAAGAGCAACAGGTACTCTTAACTGCTGAGTCAGCTTCCTAGCCCCTGTTAGGATGTAATTTTTAGAAACATATTCCAGTAAATTCAGTTCAGCTAGAGGAAGTAACTCCTTTTTAATGGCATTTATCAATATATATATTTGATTTCCATCTGAAATTAATATACTCAACCTAGTAGACCAAGCTTTGTTGCCCATATACATCCCAGGGTGCTGCCTGGAGCTCATCATACCTGTCAGGAGGTGTAGTCTGATAATAGTCCAACACATATGGTCTCTCAGAGTTCTTTACAATTCTCAGTTTTGCTGTGTGTGGTGGTGCATGCCTTTAATTCCAGTGCACGTGAGGCAGAGACGGGCAGATCTCTGAGTCTGAGGCTAGCCTGGTCTAGAGAGTTCTAGGGTGACATAGTGAGGCCACATCTCCAAAACAAAAATGAAACAAAAAGTCCTTAATTTCTGTGATTTGGAGAGCAACTCAGTAGATGGCTTGGATGTGTTCCATGCCCTTGATACGACTTAAATCAGCATCCTCGGCTCCCTGATAGTTTGCTTAGGCTTGCAGGTCTTCAACCATGAAGACTATAGAACTAGTTGGAGTGGAAAGTCAGTCTTGGAGTAAGCTAAGCACTCCAAAAGAATACTTAGGTGTGAGAGGTTGAAGAAAATTCCTCAGGAGGCCCATGAAGAGCTGACAGCTTTTCTGTTGAACATGATGCTCTTTACATTCATGTGAAAATCATATATCAAGTTACATGTGTCAGACGCACCGTTATGACCAAAGGAACCCTTGCTGCTCAGGGTAATCTAGGTCTTACCTCTGTCCTTATGGACACAGGGGATTGCTAAAAGAAAGATATTATCTAATGGGCCAATCAGAAAAGTATTCTCCGATAACCGAGTATTTATTGGTGTTGATTTTCACAAATTAAATGAATGGCTTTGTTTAGACTCCCAGGACTCGTTAGAAACATCCGCAGGGAAATGGCTGGCAAGGGAAAATTAAATTGGTTGGCAGATGCAGGGCTTCACGAGGTTGGTGGCTGTGCTTGGTGTTGGAGAACTGCTCAAACCCATGTTGAGCCTTTGACATCCCTTCCCCTATTAGAGTCTAGCCAGACATGGACTCGGGATGGGGCATGGGAGCTTATAAGCTAGGTGCTCCACAAGAATATTAGCTTTGACAAGGTTGAAGTAAATTCCTTAGGGAGGCCAGTGAAGGTAGGACACTTTTCTCTTGACTTCGATGCTCTTATAGGTCATGTTGTGAAGTCAAATATCAAGTGATATACAGTTTTTGCTGAAGTATGATTTTGTTTTAAAGTGATGCCAAAATTTGAATGGGTTTTAATTTCAGTAAATCGTATCAAACTGTTTTGTTTTTTATCATCATTTACTAAGAAATTCTGGTTTCTATTTTAAATGTATTTAAGTAGCCTTTTCATTTTTCTTTTTTTCTTAGTGAATCTCTTGTTTCATTCTAATGTTAAGAAACAGCCAATTGTATTATGTGTTGGTTTTCAATTCTGTCTGATTCTAAACCATCATGTTTTTTTGAGGATAGTTAGCTTACAAATCTCCATGTAGGACATGTTTTGGTCAGGATCATAAAGATGTGAACATAGTGACCCTTGGGGAATAGAACTGTTGTGCTACAAATTGAGTAAATTTTAACAGGAAACTTTTCTAAAAGTGCATGTATAGAAGAACTCAATATAATTTTTGAAAAATGGGAATGCCATTGAAACCAAAGGGCATGGGCGTAAAATAGATGAGTTCCAGGTTATTTATGGAACACCTCATACAGATTGAATTTTATAAAGTCTTTTGTGACTTGAATAATTTGTGTCCATGCAGGCTTCTGTTCCTGGACATTTTAATCATTGATGATTCTGCAACATAAAACACCACACAGACATTTTCATGCTGTTTGTTCATCTAGGAATGAATTAGCAAATTAACCTCAACTCCTAGATTGTTGGGTTTATCCAGAAGAAGGGAATCATTGTTAATTTGAACTCAGGAATATTGAGCAGTTTCTCATGGGCCTTTCCAATAGGAACCAGGTTCAGGAGTAGTGTTTAGCCATGCTTCCTACTCAATCTGTCTGTCAACATCTCCACACTTTCTGCCCCAAATGTTTTTGACATTGAGTACCGGTAGAAAAAGGCATGTTGGTAGGGTGATCGTGTAACTTAACCAAATTAGGGCATTCTTGAGATGGGTTCTTCTAATGATTACACTGTGACAACAGCTGTAAGCAAGGATTATCCTAACAAAGACCTGTGGCCATTAGAGCTGCTAGTGTTGGTCAGCAGCCAGAGACCCTGGCTATTGTTATTTCCTTTATTGCATGTATCTGAGACTCAGGTCCTGCCATATTAGAGCACACTGGCCCTGAAGGTATCTTTACCAGAAGCCCAGTATACCATGAAGAGGTAAGCTAAGCCCTAAGAAGCCAGACAGAGCCACAGAGCCTGGGCACTCCTGTCTACTTACTTCCTGTCCTTGGCAGTAAAACCTTGGTAAGAAGTCAAGTCTAAATGGCATTACAGTGATTGAAAATGGGGTAAAGACTATCTAAACATGTGGACATGGTTGAGCCAGCAAAATAAGCGATCAAATGGGGATGTAGCCATCTTTTGATGTAAGTTCTTCTCCTTCATTAATAGTGAGTGCCATTTCACTAAGGCTGACAAGAAGCGAATGAAGCTCTCTGGTCCTCCATTTGTCCCTATGTAAAATGAAGATGATAATGGCCTTTCTCTGCTGGGGCTGATACAAAGCCAGAGACTTCTGATTCAATTTTATCTTATTACTTTTTTTAGTGCTAAACATCTGCACTTTAAACTTTCATACATTCTCTAAACTAGCTGTTACATATTGATGGGGGATGTATGCTGTGAATATATGTTTCTCTTATTGGTAGATTAATAAATGCTGATTGGCCAGTAGCCAGGCAGGAAGTATAGGTGGGGCTACAAGACTAGGAGAATGCTGGGAAAAGGAAAGGCAGGGAAGCAGTCACCAGAGCCAGATGCCATTTAGTCACTGGAAAGCTAGGATGCCTGGGCATTCTCTGGTAAGCCAAGGCCACATGGAGATACATAGATAATAGAAATGGTTTAAAAACTAAGAGAGAGCTAGCCAATAGGAAGCCTTAGTCATTGGCCAAACAGTTTATAACTAATATAAGCCACTGTGTGTTTATTTGGGACTGAAGGATGGTGGGACCAGGCTGGACAGAAACTTCTGTCTACTTCATCAGCACTTTGAAGGAGGGTTGTAGGACATCCTGATCACAAAGTGTCAGGGGCTTGGTTCCCCTTTCTACCTTTCTGCTATCTAGGAAATTACAAGATGTACTTGCTGTGCTAACATGTGAGAGAGGAGAGCATTTGTCTGATATTTAAGCCACTGCACTTGAGACCTCAGAATCACAGTCATAAATCATACCAACTGTAATAGTGGCTTTAAAAACCCACTGGACATGGAGGCGAGGGTGTATATTTTACTCCTACTCTGTTGGTGGAACAACCTGAAGTTCTCTTTTCTCATAGCAAACATCAGTGAAAATAATACGCAAGAGGTAGATGACCACTCAGGGCTATATCGTTAATTTCTTCTGAGCCAGGGTTCATCTTTAATTCATCCCCTTTGGTAAGTATTTAAGCAGACGATGGTCTAAGCGTGCGACGACCCAGCATTTCATAACATGATGAAAGTGCTCAACCATCATGTGGAGAAAGTAAGAAATCAAGAGGAAGGGTCATGTAATGACAGGCAGACAGAGACTACAAGACCACTTGTTTTAGGTAGGGTTTCTGTTGCTGTGAAGAGACACCGTGTCCATGGCAACTCTTATAAAGGAAAACAGTTAATTGGGGCTGGTTTACAGTTTCAGAGGTTTAGTCCGTGATTGTCATGGTGGAAGGCATAGTGGCACCCAGGCAGATGTGGTCCTGGAGAAGGAGCTGAGAGTTCTACATCCGGATCCACAGGCAGCAGGAGTGAATATCACGCTAGACCTGGCTTGAGCATTGTTTACCTCAAAATCCACCCCCAAGTGACACACTTCCTCCAACAAAGTCACACCTACTCCAACAAGACCATGCCTCCTAATAGTGCCATTGCCTATGAGCCTATGGGAGCCATTTTATTCAAACCACCACACTGGGCAAGGCATTTGGAGGTACAATGTGTGTGTGTGTCTGGGGGTGGGGGGGCATTACAGGGCATGGCCAGAAAAGAGTCCTCTGACAGAACATTTGTTCTGAAACTGAAAACCAAGAAGATAGGATTTATGGAATCCAGGAGAAAAGGACACTAGACTAGACAAAGACCTAACTTAACCTTTGGTGCAAGGAATAACTGTTAAAGAGCAGAGAAAACACTAGTGTTGTTGACGAGTAAGTCCTAAGAGGTCAACTGAGAGGTGGGAAGGGCCAGGTCATTTCTCCTAACAATTTATGAAATTCTAAATGCAGTGAGAAATCTTAGGGGGTTGTAAACATGGATGGCGTAAAGACAGCACCCAACACAGACTTTCCCAGCTGCAGACACTATAGCGAGATGCAGATAGTGCTTGTGAAAACATGAACCCTTTTACAGCTCAGACAGCTTCTTAACTAGGGAGTATTGCTTCTGGTCATCTGGTATCACACAAGGATACCACTGGGAAATCTGCTGTAACCCAGCGGGCACCATTGCTAAGCCCTTCAGCGTTCTTAGAGTTGGCTTTTGGATTTTTTTTCTCTAGATATTGTCTCCAGTTCAAGCTAATTTTGAAGGCCTTGACTAACTATGTACTCAAGTTGGATCTCGAACTTCTGGTCTTCTCGTTTCTACCTCCTGAGGATTATTGGTGTGAACTACCACCCCATTTTATGTGGTGGTGGGCATCAAATATGAGCCTCAAACCAAGGATTTGTGTGTGCTGGGAGAAGCCTGTGCTAAATGAGCTGCAGCCCATGCTCTCACTATTGAGATCCATGGCTTTGAGTCTCAATCTTCTGCTACTACATCGCTGATCTTCAATGGGATGCTTCACCTTTTGGGATTATATTTTCACACACAAAATGGGAATCATAATGCTCAGCAGGGCTTTATGACTCCGGTGAGATATATGTAATATGCCTGACCAATCATTGTTAAGTACTCTCTAAAAGTGGTATGTGTATTTAAACTTATAGTCCTGGAATTCATTGAAAAACAGTAAAAACTATCAACTTACTAGTCCAGTGAGTCCCCCTAACCTCCCCATCTTGGCAGATCTACCTTGAGTCCCACATGCAGTGGTTCAACCTGGTCTGGCCACCTGTGTGTGTGCCTCAACCAACCTCTAGGTTTCCACTAGGACCTGTTCGCACTGCGCTTCAACCAACCCTTCCCCTGGCCAAACTTGCCACCTCCTACTCCAAGGTCTACCCTGGCTTAACTTATCCACACATCCTCTCTTCTTTCCCAAAATACTTGGCTCAGTCAGACTTAGAACTAACAAAAGAAGTCCACGTGTCCATATGTCAGAGTACACTGAGAACACAAGCCACAATACCAGAGTCAACACCGCATGACCACAACTAACACACATTACAATAATAAGTGTAAATATCGGGGACCTCAATTCTCCAACCATATCTGTTGTCTACAAGAAAAACATCTTTTCTTTGAAGATAGGCACTGCCTTAGAGTAAAAGGATGGATGAAAGAATTCAAATCTAATGGGACCAGGAAGCAAGTAAGTATTGCTACTCTGATGCCTGACAAGATACACTAAAACTGATAAGAAGAGATAAAAAGGGATGATTCAGTCTAATCAAACAACAGTTAAGAAGACACAACTATACTAAACATATGTGCCCTGAACTTCAGGGTGCCCAATTTAGTAAAAATGTACTGCTTGATTTGAAGAAACTTATAAATTCATTAATGACAGGTTATTTCACTACCACACTTTCTAATACACAGGTCATCCAGACAAACAAAACAACAATAACAAAAATCAGAATGAATTGGCATCAAACACCAAATAAACTTTACATATCTACAGACTATTCTATCCAAACACCAGAGACTACACATTCTCAGCAGCACTGGAAGCTTTTATAAAATAGATCACATCCTGGGACACACAACAAATCTTTACAAATTCGAAAGGTTGAAATCATTCTTTGTATCCTATCTGACCACAATGCAATAAAGCTTTAAATTGGCAGAGCACACATCTTTAGTAAATACACAAACTCATGGAGGTTGAATAACTCATTGTTGAACGATGAATAGGCTAAAGAAGAAATCAACAAAGAAAGATTTCCTGGAACTAAACGAACATGAAAACACAAAACAACAAAGACCCCTGGGGCCCATTAAAAGCAGTCCTGTGATGGGAATATATAGCTCTTGGTGCTTACATTTAAAAAAGGCCCCATGAGCTGGAAGTGGCCTGGATCCCTCCTTCTTGAGGACTGGCTTTCATGGTATCAGATGCCATTCAGACTTCCAAAAGAGGGAAACAGCCAGCAGAGCTACACGGCTGTGACACATATGAACCACAGCAATGCTCAGCACGGCACAATAACCCTAAGAACACGGTAGTGCCATGCATACCTTGGCTGTAATCAACAGCTCTCTAATTGAGTGTAAGACTTAACAAGAGGGGAACCATGCTTGGTACTGGAAACTTAGCTAAATGCTCAGTGCTAGTGATGTCATGGATCTTGGATGAGAATTTATAGCCCCTACTTGACTAAACCTGCATAATCCCTAACTACATTCTAAACATTTGCCCTTATACCCACAAGTTAACGTAGATCTCACTCCTTATCAGTGAGAGTCCTGTAGATAGAGGCGGTTACAGAAAACTACAGCCAATCCAGACAAAGAATTGTGGATCCCAGTCTCGCATGGGTACAACTGTAGAACATGCACCCGCCCACAAGGCTCAGGGACAACGGAAGAAGAGACAGTGAAAATATTGTAAGAGCCAGACGATCAGGGAGTTTGCTGTGAGATTGTCTCCTGGTAATGCCAGAATTCAAAACAAACAAAACAGACTGATGCTGAGGTGGGAACTCAGAGACTTCAGGAAGGCCATGCAGCCCTCCACTCTGGTTTCTTAAAACCTCTTGCTCCTCCCTTGCTCTTCCCTTGCTCCTCCCTCCAGAGCCCGTGCTCTCCAGAGCACACCTGGAGACAAGCCTCTCTGACCTGTCACGGTGGCACTCCGCCATGCTACACACAGCTCATCTTTTATTCTGATGTCTCATATGCTTGTCCCTCGCTCCCTGAGATGGGGTACGGCTTGTCATGTTTCGCCTGTCTCCTGCGTGCTCTCGTCTGCTGAATGAAAATCTGAATAACGAGATGGCTGAGTGCAGTCCACCACCTGACCCTAGATTCTCCAACAAGGCTGGGCGTATGTCTTCCCTACAGCTGTAGAAGCCCGTCAACCTTTGCTCTGTGCCTTTTGCGCTGAGGTAGGGTGCTGAAGCCACCACGCCTGCCTTTGGGCTTCTGCTGGCATTTGTCCAATGAGAGGCATAGGTGGGAGAGCAGAAGGTTGGCAGAGAGAGAACTGGGCTGGGGGTTACTCTGCGGGACCCCTCCTGGGTTCCAAGATCTGCTCCATTTGACATCAGGCCTAGACCTTCTGCTTGTTGCTAGCCTAGAGGCTTTCCCTGCCAGGTCCCAACACCATCATAAATATGTCTAAAAACAAAAAACAGTAAAAGTCTCTGGAGAGATGGCTCAGCATTTAAAACACTTGCTGCTCTAGCAGAGGACCCAGGTTCACAAGGGTACTCGGCACACACAGAGCCCCATGGGGAACAATGTACCTTTATCAGACGATTTAAGCGCCTGCTAGCCTAGCACAGAGCCTTGCGACAAGCTTGAGGAGAGCCTGTCTGCTTTGCTGCTCTGTGCTTTTCCTGTGGCCACACTCTCGGCAAACTCAAGCAGATGGAACTCTTCACTGTCTCGAAGAACTAAGCAAACCGTTTTACAGGAGTTATAGAACACTGCAGGCATGAACCTTTGTGACAGCTAAATGTTTTTAATGAGTAAAGTAAAATGTCACTTCTAGGGAGAAACCAAAAATAACGCTTTTTAAGAAGTGTGTATTGTGCAGGAGGGTTTTTTTGTAATTTTTTTCTTCCTCTGGGTTGCCAGGCTGTGGGTGTTGAAAAGTCTTCAGATTTGGTCTGGCATGTTTAGATGGTGGGGGCGGGGGGCATTGGAACTCACTCCATTGTCTCCTGTTGAAGTCTGGGTTAGAATGTCAGACCCCAAAGCTTTTGACTGGCACTGGCGTAGTCAGGGCCACCTGGCAAGCACCTGTAGCCTGCTTCCCCCAGCTCCTTCTCTCCCCCTGGCCCCAGGCCACCACCTTGACCATCTGCCACTGAGGCCCATGAACACAAGACATTCTCTGTCAGGTATAGCTGTGGCACTGATCTGAGAACTGAACTCTCCCATCGAGAAGCCAGGGAAGGTGTGCATTTCCCAGTGTCACTTGCCCAGAGAGGAGACTGCCAGTGGCTGAGATCGGCGGGAAAGCCCAGGAAGTGTGGTGGGTGCTGGGCTTTCTGTCAGATTCTCAAGGACCAGCTTAGGACAGGATCTTCAGTTCCCGGACTTGGCAGCCCCAGGCACTGCTGGGAAACCTGAGGTCTCTGCGCGGCCGGCTAGATGTCCTCCCCAGTCCCTGCTCACCTCACCACTCACTTCTCCCCATCTCTCCCACCCCCTTCCCAGCCCTCTTCCCCACCCACCTCCGACCCTCACCTTCTGCTGGGGTAGTCAGGTGGGATTCTGAGGCTGAACCAAATGAATCTCCCCAGGCAAGCACAGCTCCCAGACTTTGTCCTCCCTTGAGACTCATCACTTTTGATGGACAGGGACCTTGGGCTCAGGCAGGTGGCTGGGTCATTCCCTCCCCCACCGTCCAAGTCTCTGCAGAGAAGGGAAAAGCACCAGAAAAGGCCGTGGGCCTCTCTTTCTCATCAGTGGCATTAAAGCCCGTTCCTTTCCTGATTTTTGTTGTCCCGTTTGAGCCAGGCAAGGGCACTTCTGTTTTACTATAGAGAGGGAAGCTGGTGAACACATGTATAAACAAAACAAGAGATCAATCCCTTCCTATCCCTTCCTTTCAAAGAAATACAGTTGTGTAGCGCTTTCTTCCTAGATTAAAACCTCCCACTTTGGAGAGAAACATCTTAAGACAGAATGTCAAGGGGTGTGAAACCCTGCAAGGACACTCCTTAAGATAGGAAGTAAAGAACGCCAAACAGCTTCAGGAAGTCCCTGAAACTGAGCAGACTCACTAGGCCCCTCCCTCCCTAAAAGTATATAAAAAGGAAAGCCTGCAAAGAGTCGCTCTCAGACAAGCCCAGCCATCTGAAAGAATGCAGTCAGCCATCAGAAAAAATGCAGACAGGCAGAACTGCCTGGAAGGAGCCAAGTCCTGCTGAGCTGCCTGGGAGAGGCTCCAACCAACTGACACAGCCAGAAAGGACACACTCCAGCCTGCTGGAGCTGGCTGTAGGTGTTTAGTCCAGGTTCCCAGCTTTGGTGAGCTGTCCTTTATACTGGGGTGGGGTTTGGTGAAGTTGCTATCTTTGACTCGCTTCCTGTAAGAAACTCCTCACACATACTCTTCTAAGTGACCACAGTAAAACTCATTGGTTCATCGAGTTGGACTTTGGTGGTGTCCGCATTTGGCCTGCCATCAGACAACACATAGCAACAGTGAAAACAAAGTTCGTTGTGCATGCCAAAACCCCGCCATGGCTGATCACCACCCCTGAGCCTCCGCTGTCAGACTCATGCTGTCCTAGAGATGTGAAGTCAGACCTGGGAAAGCGGTTGACACGGTGGGTGCCATAGATAGCTGAGAGTTTATATCAGACCTGAGCACTCTGAGTGTGAGGGAAGGCACTCAGCTCCTGGTCCCTACAAGGAAGGAGTGTCTGCTCTACCAGTGTCACTGGAGTGAACCAGCTTCTGATGACAAGGGACTTGCCTTTGAGTCTAAATACAATTAATTTTGTGCTGTTCTTAGGAGGAATTGAGACCACTCTGTGGAGAGATCCTGAATGAAAGCAAAATTTAGGCAACCCCCCCCACCAAAAAACAAAACAAAACAACAACAAAAAAAACCCACTTAGGAAAGAAAGGAGCCACAGCTGAGTTCAAAAGTGCTACTCTGACTGTCACAGGAATCTTGAAAGCAG